GACAGCATTTAATATACAGACAGATAAGAGCTGTGTTGTATAAACAAGTTAACCATAGAAAACGTTACTTGTAGTGGAATTACCGTCTAAAGAAAACGGGATATCATCACCACATACTATTATAATTCACCAGCTATTCTGCTGGGAATTATTCTTAAATACATTAGTCTTTGGACTTTACCATCATAAAACATCTTATATAAATTAACTTAATTATCAATATTAAAGTAGAGTAAATGTGACCCTTCTATCACTTTCTGAAATCTGGACAAAGTAGGCCAGGCGTCAGAGTGGGGAAGGAGGGCAGCCATTGTTGTTATATGAGACCAGAGGCTCACACGGGAGCAAATTCGGCTCCTGTTAAATTTACTTGGACGTAGTGTTATGGAACCCAAAGGTGTACCATTGTCAACACGCTGTCTACAAATACAAGTTAAGTGTCTATCCGAAACCCGTTTATCATTCATTTATGGCCATTAATGTCAGGATATAGGGTTAGCCGGTTAGAACGCGAAATCGCCTCATACTAAAGGTAATTAAGCCAGGTCTTTAATGTTCCATGTACTGTATAGTGTTTTCTCTGATATAGCTTGTCATATATAGGATTCTGGCTTCACAGCTAGCGCACTTTTGACAGGTCAAGACGAGGATGCAAGATTATGTGCACCAGTTACTGGGTGATAGAAGCTACCTCAAAGAGGATAATTTGGTGTCTACACTCTAGTTATACCTGGTGGACTAACCTGCTGTACTATAAGAGAAGGAACCTCATCAATGTATGTAGCTATTACTGTAATTTGATTGGCTGCATATGTGTAATATAAACCCCCCCTAATGTGTAGAGGATCGATTTGTGAGATTAAGAGATTATTGCAGAAATACAGTCCACTTATCATTATACAAATTGCTATCGAAGTATATAAATTAACGTAAATATAAATTCATATAAATTAAATAAATATAAATCTCACAGGTCGGTTCCCACATTATTTGGTCATCTTCGAACCGGATGACGGATTATTTGATCCTTTGAACCCACAAACAGCATTGGTGCAAGGATTGTACCTTGAGGTACAGAGCTTTTAACTGCGCTCGGACTCGATTTTACTTGATTGACTGTTACTCTTTATATTCTGTTCGACAGGAAATTGAGTATCCAGCGTCCTACTTTACCAGTAATACCCATTGACATCATTTTGTGTGCTATCACTCCATGGTCACATTTGTCGAATGCCTTTACAAAATCTGTGTATACGACATCTGCATGCATTATGTTTTTCTTCTAAGGCCTCACTGATTTTGTCATAGTGGTCAAGTAGCTGTGAGAGGCATGATCTTCCTGCTCTAAATCCATGTTGGCCATCAGTATCGGGGCTGGGAGACATCAGGTACCGGGGCTGGGAGACATCAGGTACCGGGGCTGGGAGACATCATTACCAGGGCTGGGAGACATCAGGTACCGGGGCTGGGAGACATCAGGTACCGGGGCTGGGAGACATCAGTACCAGGGCTGGGAGACATCAGGTACCGGGGCTGGGAGACATCAGGTACCGGGGCTGGGAGACATCAGGGGCTGGGACATCAGGTACCGGGGCTGGGAGACATCAGTACCGGGGCTGGGAGGGGGCTGGGAGACATCAGGTACCGGGGCTGGGAGACATCAGGTACCGGGGCTGGGAGACATCAGTACCAGGGCTGGGAGACATCAGGTACCGGGGCTGGGAGACATCAGGTACCGGGGCTGGGAGACATCAGTACCAGGGCTACCAGGGCTGGGAGACATCAGGTACCGGGGCTGGGAGACATCAGGTACCGGGGCTGGGAGACATCAGGTACCGGGGCTGGGAGACATCAGGTACCGGGGCTGGGAGACATCAGGTACCGGGGCTGGGAGACATCAGGTACCGGGGCTGGGAGACATCAGGTACCGGGGCTGGGAGACATCAGGTACCGGGGCTGGGAGACATCAGGTACCGGGGCTGGGAGACATCAGGTACCGGGGCTGGGAGACATCAGGTACCGGGAGACTGGGAGACATCAGGTACCGGGGCTGGGAGACATGGGAGACATCAGGTACCGGGGCTGGGAGACATCAGGTACCGGGGCTGGGAGACATCAGGTACCGGGGCTGGGAGACATCAGGTACCGGGGCTGGGAGACATCAGGTACCGGGGCTGGGAGACATCAGGTACCGGGGCTGGGAGACATCAGGTACCGGGGCTGGGAGACATCAGGTACCGGGGCTGGGAGACATCAGGTACCGGGGCTGGGAGACATCAGGTACCAGGGGCTGGGAGACATCAGGTACCAGGGGCTGGGAGACATCAGGTACCGGGGCTGGGAGACATCAGGTACCAGGGCTGGGAGACATCAGTACCAGGACTGGGAGACATCAGGGGCTGGGAGACATCAGGGACTACCAGGGGCTGGGAGACATCAGGTACCGGGGCTGGGAGGGTACCGGGGCTGGGAGACATCAGGTACCAGGGCTGGGAGACATCAGGTACCAGGGCTGGGAGACATCAGGGAGACATCAGGTACCAGGGCTGGGAGACATCAGGTACCGGGGCTGGGAGACATCAGGTACCGGGGCTGGGAGACATCAGGTACCAGGGCTGGGAGACATCAGGTACCGGGGCTGGGAGACATCAGGTACCGGGGCTGGGAGACATCAGGTACCGGGGCTGGGAGACATCAGGTACCGGGGCTGGGAGACATCAGGTACCGGGGCTGGGAGACATCAGGTACCGGGGCTGGGAGACATCAGGTACCGGGGCTGGGAGACATCAGGTACCGGGGCTGGGAGACATCAGGTACCGGGGCTGGGAGACATCAGGTACCGGGGCTGGGAGACATCAGGTACCGGGGCTGGGAGACATCAGGTACCGGGGCTGGGAGACATCAGGTACCGGGGCTGGGAGACATCAGGTACCGGGGCTGGGAGACATCAGGTACCGGGGCTGGGAGACATCAGGTACCGGGGCTGGGAGACATCAGGTACCGGGGCTGGGAGACATCAGGTACCGGGGCTGGGAGACATCAGGTACCGGGGCTGGGAGACATCAGGGGCTACCAGGGGCTGGGAGACATCAGGTACCAGGGCTGGGAGACATCAGGTACCGGGGCTGGGAGACATCAGGTACCGGGGCTGGGAGACATCAGGTACCGGGGCTGGGAGACATCAGGTACCAGGGGCTGGGAGACATCAGGTACCAGGGGCTGGGAGACATCAGGTACCGGGGCTGGGAGACATCAGTACCAGGGCTGGGAGACATCAGTACCAGGACTGGGAGACATCAGGTACCAGGGCTGGGAGACATCAGGTACCAGGGCTGGGAGACATCAGTACCAGGACTGGGAGACATCAGTACCAGGGCTGGGAGACATCAGTACCAGGACTGGGAGACATCAGTACCAGGGCTGGGAGACATCAGGTACCGGGGCTGGGAGACATCAGGTACCAGGGCTGGGAGACATCAGTACCAGGACTGGGAGACATCAGGTACCAGGGCTGGGAGACATCAGGTACCGGGGCTGGGAGACATCAGGTACCAGGGCTGGGAGACATCAGTACCAGGGCTGGGAGACATCAGGTACCAGGGCTGGGAGACATCAGGTACCGGGGCTGGGAGACATCAGGTACCGGGGCTGGGAGACATCAGGTACCGGGGATGGGAGACATCAGTACCAGGGCTGGGAGACATCAGGTACCGGGGCTGGGAGACATCAGGTACCGGGGCTGGGAGACATCAGGTACCGGGGCTGGGAGACATCAGGTACCGGGGCTGGGAGACATCAGGTACCGGGGCTGGGAGACATCAGGTACCGGGGCTGGGAGACATCAGGTACCGGGGCTGGGAGACATCAAGTACCGGGGCTGGGAGACATCAGGTACCGGGGCTGGGAGACATCAGGTACCGGGGCTGGGAGACATCAGGTACCGGGGCTGGGAGACATCAGGTACCGGGGCTGGGAGACATCAGGTACCGGGGCTGGGAGACATCAGTACCAGGGCTGGGAGACATCAGGTACCGGGGCTGGGAGACATCAGGTACCGGGGCTGGGAGACATCAGGTACCGGGGCTGGGAGACATCAGGTACCGGGGCTGGGAGACATCAAGTACCGGGGCTGGGAGACATCAGGTACCGGGGCTGGGAGACATCAGTACCAGGGCTGGGAGACATCAGTACCAGGACTGGGAGACATCAGGTACCAGGGCTGGGAGACATCAGGTACCAGGGCTGGGAGACATCAGGTACCGGGGCTGGGAGACATCAGGTACCAGGAGAGAGATCTCTCGTCCCCCAGGTGTTTACATCTGAGGTGTCAGGGTTGAAGGAGATCATCTCTAGCACCATGGGAGAGCTATCCTCGTCCTCCTCTTCTGTCCCGGGAGTCCCGTCTTGGAGCCTCCGTGACGCAACTTGACTTGCGTTACAGGGGGGACGCAACTTGACTTGCGTCAAGGGGGCGCTTGCCGGCCTGGGTCCGTGTGTCCTCCCCGCTCCCTGGAGGCTCACTGGGGCGGGTGGAGGAGTCAGCGCGGGCCGAGACCTGTTGCTCCGGCCCGTGCTCGGCCCGGCCCGTGCTGGGGGCTCTCTCTCAGCTCCCCCGGGGGACCCACCTTCAATTTTATTGCCGTGTGAAGGAAATTATTTTTAAAACGGCCAAGTCTTGCTGGGACTGGAGCAGGTACGGCGCCTTCCTGCCTCCTGGTGTGGTGCTGAGTTAAGTCAAGTGTTCGCGGCAGGCAACGTTGAAGTTCTTGCAAGATTATGAACGTTGATTCTTATCACTGAATACCAACACACAATATATTATATATATATATATATATATATATATATATATATATATATATATATATATATATATATATATATATATATATATATACACTTCTATCCCTCTGACTAGTGCTCTTGAATCTGTTTATCTGTTTGTTACTGAATCCATTGTTCACCAACACATGAGTTATTCTTTCTAACTCCTTACTCACGTTGTTCCATTCACATCAGTGGATAAGAGCTCGACGAATATAAGCGTTGAAAACATTGGCTTTGTGTCTTTGAGGGTATTCATGCCTACCATTTAAACATAATTCTAAAAATATATCTATCTCTTTAATGTCTATCTAGTAAATTTATGTAAATTTTACTAAGGTATTTTGATCACTAGCCATCTTCCTAACTCACTATTTTCATCACTGTAACCCGAATTAACACACTTCATCGTTTTCAAGCTAATTCATGTTATGACTTGACACTCGCACTTTGGGTTTGGCCAACAAGCTCATTCTTAAAGCATTTAACTTTGCCCTTCCCTGACCAGCCTATGTCCGTCCCGTGCCCTCGGCAATTCTCCCTGTAAAGCTGAGTAAGACTACCCCTAAGCATCTGGCCTCCAACTATGGACAGACATTCTTTTCAATAGTATATGTAACAAGAAAATCCGTAGGAGCCGTGATTAGGGGTTCGAACCAATGCGGTGGGTGTTCCCACACACACACGCTCTAGCCACTAGACCACCACATGGTATAAGGATTACACCCTGGAGTTCTACTGAACACACAAGGGTTTCCTGAGGCCTCTACTGAAGCCGGACCAGGATTGTCACACAATCCCCTCATGCACTCTGACTGTCATACAGGAAAGTTCTACCTCTGACGCTCCTCTTTCAATACTCAGACAGATATTACTCTCTCTTTACTAAATACTATAATACAAACTTTATATCATGTAAAGAAGATGTTTCATGTTGTAATGTGAGGTAAGAGTAAGAATGCTATACATCTTACACTACACTACACTTAAGAGATATGGGTCTGGGGCTTTTCTCAGATCCTTAAAAACATGTTGTATTTACACAAGGTGATTGTGACGTGATTGTGTCGCTGCGACTGCGGCTGGACAAGGCAAGTGTCGCCATGTAACGACCGTACCTGTCTGAGACGCAGTAGTTCCAGAGTGACAACCAGTCAAGTGGAGGAGCAGTTTATATGGTGAGGCAGAGACCAGTGTGAGGGTGTGGTGTGAACCTCAGGTGATGGTGAGCATGGTGAGGTGTGAACCTCAGGTGATGGTGAACATGTTGAGGTCTGAGCCTCAGGCGATGGTGAGCCTGTTGAGGTCTGAGCCTCAGGTGATGGTGAGCATGATGAGGTGTGAACCTCAGGTGATGGTGAGCCTGTTGAGGTCTGAGCCTCAGGTGATGGTGAGCCTGTTGAGGTCTGAGCCTCAGGTGATGGTGAGCCTGTTGAGGTCTGAGCCTCAGGTGATGGTGAGCCTGTTGAGGTCTGAGCCTCAGGTGATGGTGAGCCTGTTGAGGTCTGAGCCTCAGGTGATGGTGAGCCTGTTGAGGTCTGAGCCTCAGGTGATGGTGAGCCTGTTGAGGTCTGAGCCTCAGGTGATGGTGAGCCTGTTGAGGTCTGAGCCTCAGGTGATGGTGAGCCTGTTGAGGTCTGAGCCTCAGGTGATGGTGAGCCTGTTGAGGTCTGAGCCTCAGGTGATGGTGAGCCTGTTGAGGTCTGAGCCTCAGGTGATGGTGAGCCTGTTGAGGTCTGAGCCTCAGGTGATGGTGAGCCTGTTGAGGTCTGAACCTCAGGTGATGGTGAGCATGTTATGGTCTGAACCTCAGGTGATGGTGAGCCTGTTGAGGTCTGAGCCTCAGGTGATGGTGAGCCTGTTGAGGTCTGAGCCTCAGGTGATGGTGAGCCTGTTGAGGTCTGAGCCTCAGGTGATGGTGAGCCTGTTGAGGTCTGAGCCTCAGGTGATGGTGAGCCTGTTGAGGTCTGAGCCTCAGGTGATGGTGAGCCTGTTGAGGTGTGAACCTCAGGTGATGGTGAGCCTGTTGAGGTCTGAGCCTCAGGTGATGGTGAGCCTGTTGAGGTCTGAGCCTCAGGTGATGGTGAGCCTGTTGAGGTCTGAGCCTCAGGTGATGGTGAGCCTGTTGAGGTGTGAACCTCAGGTGATGGTGAGCCTGTTGAGGTCTGAGCCTCAGGTGATGGTGAGCCTGTTGAGGTCTGAACCTCAGGTGATGGTGAGCCTGTTGAGGTCTGAACCTCAGGTGATGGTGAGCCTGTTGAGGTCTGAGCCTCAGGCGATGGTGAGCCTGTTGAGGTCTGAGCCTCAGGTGATGGTGAGCCTGTTGAGGTCTGAGACTCAGGTGATGGTGAGCCTGTTGAGGTCTGAGCCTCAGGTGATGGTGAACCTGGCAAGGCCCGGTGTAGTTCACTCTCTTCTTCAACTATATTATTATTACTTTCGTGTAAGGTAACTCAAGTTATCTTACCTTAGGGACATGGAAGGTTGACCGCTGGCGTTACAGAAAATGGGGGGCAGAGGAAACTGTAATTCACTAATTTCAAAGTAAAAAATGAAAAAGTACTCTGGGGTTTTATAAGGCATACGTTCAAGACATCTCGCATGTATGGGAGTGAGTGAGACTTGCACTCTAGCTCCTGGTCACTAAACGCGCCGAGGACGAGCCACGAAGACGAGGCACGAGGACGAGCCACGAGGACGAGCCACAAGGACGAGCCACGAGGACGAGCCGCGAGGACGAGCCACGAGGACGAGCCGCGAGGACGAGCCGCGAGGACGAGCCACGAGGACGAGCCGCGAGGACGAGCCACGAGGACGAGCCGCGAGGACGAGCTACGAGGACGAGCCACGAGGACGAGCCACGAGGACGAGCCGCGAGGACGAGCCACGAGGACGAGCCGCGAGGACGAGCCGCGAGGACGAGCCGCGAGGACGAGCCACGAGGACGAGCCGCGAGGACGAGCCAAGAGGACGATCCACGAGGACGAGCCGCGAGGACGAGCCACGAGGACGAGCCGCGAGGACGAGCCACGAGGACGAGCCGCGAGGACGAGCCACGAGGACGAGCCACGAGGACGAGCCGCGAGGACGAGCCGCGAGGACGAGCTACGAGGACGAGCCACGAGGACGAGCCACGAGGACGAGCCGCGAGGACGAGCCACGAGGACGAGCCACGAGGACGAGCCAAGAGGACGAGCCACAAGGACGAGCCACAAGAACTCAGCTGTCTTGGTGACTGTCAAGTGACCAACCTCGGGGACAGGTTGCCGCGTCCCCGAAGTAACCAACAGTTAATCTGGCTCACATTATGCTGGCAACATGCAGTGGTAAACTTTGTCTAATTCTGTATTCAACGCAGGTCGGCATTCGAACCCCGACCGTCCAAGTGGCTGGGTCCCGCTCTCTCCTACCCCAACTCTCTCATGTCTTACTCTCATGGCTCTTCCCAAATGCTATTTGATCGTAATGACTAGGCGCTCTCTCTCCTAGTAATTATCGTGTCATTTACCACTGCTGATTTCTTTCAAATACCATTTATGTAAAGTAGGAAATAACATTTCTAAGAACCGGGCCGCGATGACTCCCCCTGTTACAGCTTGCTGCAGTCGAGGTGTACTTGTCCACTCCAGGTGGATTCTGGCCTTTAAGTATCATTAAGTAGGCATCATTAAGTTGGTATCATTAAGTAGGTATCATTAAGTAGGTATCAGACCATCTTAAGACAATATTTTAGTACTTTATGTACTGAGGTGTTGAAGTACCTGCTTGGTGCCTGCTTGGTACCTGCTTGGTGCCTGCTTGGTGCCTGCTTGGTACCTGCTTAGTGCCTGCTTGATACCTGCTTGGTGCCTGCTTGGTACCTGCTTGGTGCCTGCTTGGTACCTGCTTGGTGCCTGCTTGATGCCTGCTTGGTACCTGCTTGGTGCCTGCTTGGTACCTGCTTGGTGCCTGCTTGATGCCTGCTTGGTACCTGCTTGGTACCTGCTTGGTGCCTGCTTGATGCCTGCTTGATGCCTGCTTGGTACCTGCTTGGTACCTGCTTGGTGCCTGCTTAGTACCTGCTTGGTACCTGCTTGGTACCTGCTTGGTACCTGCTTGGTGCCTGCTTGGTACCTGCTTGGCACCTGCTTGGTGCCTGCTTGGTACCTGCTTGGTGCCTGCTTGGTGCCTTCTTGGTACCTGCTTGGCACCTGCTTGGTGCCTGCTTGGTACCTGCTTGGTGCCTGCTTGGTGCCTGCTTAGTACCTGCTTAGTACCTGCTTGGTACCTGCATGGTGCCTGCTTGGTGCCTGCTTCGTACCTGCTTGGTGCCTGCTTAGTACCTGCTTAGTACCTGCTTGGTGCCTGCTTGGTACCTGCTTGGTGCCTGCTTGGTGCCTGCTTGGTACCTGCTTGGTGCCTGCTTGGTGCCTGCTTGGTACCTGCTTGGTGCCTGCTTGGTGCCTGCTTAGTACCTGCTTAGTACCTGCTTGGTGCCTGCTTGGTACCTGCTTGGTGCCTGCTTGGTGCCTGCTTGGTACCTGCTTGGTGCCTGCTTGGTACCGGCTTGGTGCCTGCTTGGTGCCTGCTTGGTGCCTGCTTGGTACCTGCTTGGTGCCTGCTTGGTGCCTGCTTGGTGCCTGCTTAGTACCTGCTTAGTACCTGCTTGGTGCCTGCTTGGTACCTGCTTGGTGCCTGCTTGGTGCCTGCTTGGTACCTGCTTGGTGCCTGCTTGGTGCCTGCTTAGTACCTGCTTAGTACCTGCTTGGTGCCTGCTTGGTGCCTGCTTGGTGCCTGCTTGGTACCTGCTTGGTGCCTGCTTAGTACCTGCTTGGTGCCTGCTTGGTACCTGCTTGGTGCCTGCTTGGTGCCTGCTTGGTACCTGCTTGGTGCCTGCTTGGTGCCTGCTTGGTACCTGCTTGGTGCCTGCTTGGTGCCTGCTTAGTACCTGCTTAGTACCTGCTTGGTGCCGGCTTGGTACCTGCTTGGTACCTGCTTGGTACCTGCTTGGTGCCTGATTGATACCTGCTTGGTGCCTGCTTGGTGCCTGCTTAGTACCTGCTTGGTGCCTGCTTAGTGCCTGCTTGATACCTGCTTAGTGCCTGCTTGATACCTGCTTGGTGCCTGCTTGGTACCTGCTTGGTACCTGCGTGGTGCCTGCTTGGTACCTGCTTGATACCTGCTTGGTGCCTGCTTGGTACCTGCTTGGTACCTGCTTGGTGAATGCTTGGTACCTGCTTGGTGCCTGCTTGGTGCCTGTTTGGTGCCTGCTTGGTACCTGCTTGGTGCCTGCTTGGTGCCTGCTTAGTACCTGCTTAGTACCTGCTTGGTGCCTGCTTAGTGCCTGCTTGATACCTGCTTGGTGCCTGCTTGGTACCTGCTTGGTACCTGATTGGTGCCTGCTTGGTACCTGCTTCTACCTGCTTGGTACCTGCTTGGTGCCTGCTTGATACCTGCTGGCAGACGTCTTGGTATGGTCCCAGGTCTGCCAGACGTCTTGGTATGGTCTGAGGTCTGCCAGACGACTTGGTATGGTCCCAGGTCTGCCAGACGTCTTGGTATGGTCCCAGGTCTGCCAGACGTCTTGGTATGGTCCCAGGTCTGCCAGACGTCTTGGTATGGTCCCAGGTCTGCCAGACGTCTTGGTATGGTCCCAGGTCTGCCAGACGTCTTGGTATGGTCCCAGGTCTGCCAGACGTCTTGGTATGGTCCCAGGTCTGCCAGACGTCTTGGTATGGTCCCAGGTCTGCCAGACGTCTTGGTTTGGTCCCAGGTCTGGCAGACGTCTTGGTATGGTCCCAGGTCTGCCAGACGTCTTGGAATGGTCCGAGGTCTGCCAGACGTCTTGGTATGGTCCCAGGTCTGCCAGACGTCTTGGTATGGTCCGAGGTCTGCCAGACGTCTTGGCATGGTCCCAGGTCTGCCAGACGTCTTGGTATGGTCCCAGGTCTGCCAGACGTCTTGGTATGGTCCGAGGTCTGCCAGACGTCTTGGTATGGTCCGAGGACTGGCAGACGTCTTGGTATGGTCCCAGGTCTGCCAGACGTCTTGGTATGGTCCGAGGTCTGCCAGACGTCTTGGTATGGTCCCAGGTCTGCCAGACGTCTTGGTATGGTCCGAGGTCTGCCAGACGTCTTGGTATGGTCTGAGATCTGCCAGACGTCTTGGTATGGTCTGAGGTCTGCCAGACGTCTTGGTATGGTCCGAGGTCTGCCAGACGTCTTGGTATGGTCCGAGGTCTGCCAGACGTCTTGGTATGGTCCCAGGTCTGCCAGACGTCTTGGTATGGTCCGAGGTCTGCCAGACGTCTTGGTATGGTCTGAGATCTGCCAGACGTCTTGGTATGGTCTGAGGTCTGCCAGACGTCTTGGTATGGTCCGAGGTCTGCCAGACGTCTTGGTATGGTCCGAGGTCTGCCAGACGTCTTTGTATGGTCTGAGGTCTGGCAGACGTCTTGTTATGGTCTGAGGTCTGCCAGTCGTCTTGGTATGGTCCGAGGTCTGCCAGACGTCTTGGTATGGTCCGAGGTCTGGCAGACGTCTTGGTATGGTCCCAGGTCTGCTAGACGTCTTGGTATGGTCCGAGGTCTGCCAGACGTCTTGGTATGGTCCCAGGTCTGCCAGACGTCTTGGAATGGTCCGAGGTCTGCCAGACGTCTTGGTATGGTCCCAGGTCTGCCAGACGTCTTGGTATGGTCCGAGGTCTGCCAGACGTCTTGGTATGGTCCCAGGTCTGCCAGACGTCTTGGTATGGTCCCAGGTCTGCCAGACGTCTTGGTATGGTCCGAGGTCTGCCAGACGTCTTGGTATGGTCCGAGGTCTGGCAGACGTCTTGGTATGGTCCCAGGTCTGCCAGACGTCTTGGTATGGTCCGAGGTCTGCCAGACGTCTTGGTATGGTCCCAGGTCTGCCAGACGTCTTGGTATGGTCCGAGGTCTGCCAGACGTCTTGGTATGGTCTGAGGTCTGCCAGACGTCTTGGTATGGTCCCAGGTCTGCCAGACGTCTTGGTATGGTCTGAGGTCTGCCAGACGTCTTGGTATGGTCCCAGGTCTGCCAGACGTCTTGGTATGGTCCCAGGTCTGCCAGACGTCTTGGTATGGTCCCAGGTCTGCCAGACGTCCCAGGTCTGCCAGACGTCTTGGTATGGTCCCAGGTCTGCCTGACGTCTTGGTATGGTCCGAGGTCTGCCAGACGTCTTGGTATGGTCCGAGGTCTGCCAGACGTCTTGGTATGGTCTGAGGTCTGCCAGACGTCTTGGTATGATCCGAGGTCCGCCACACGTCTTGGTATGGTCCCAGGTCTGCCAGACGTCTTGGTATGGTCTGAGGTCTGCCAGACGTCTTGGTATGGTCCCAGGTCTGCCAGACGTCTTGGTATGGTCTGAGGTCTGCCAGACGTCTTGGTATGGTCTGAGGTCTGCCAGACGTCTTGGTATGGTCTGA